TGATGAATGTATCTTGTCTTTTATGTACGCTGAGAGCGTATGCACCAAAGACAAATTCCTTGTGTGTCCAATTATACTTGGCCAATAAAGAATTCTTTCTATCTAACTATCATCTATCTATCTATCTATCTATCTATCTATCTATCTATCTATCTATCTATCTATCTATCATCGATCTATCTATCTATCTATCTATTGATCGATCAATCAATCGATCGATCTTTGAGATGTCCTCAGGTTGAGAAACGCTGAGCTACACCATCATCCCCACCCAATGTACACCAGGCAAGGCGTTTTCTGCATTTCAAACACAACTTTTGTGGGCCAACATCTGTTTCAACTGATTGGCATGGGGGGGGGGAGGTGGGATCTGATCGTCCCATTCAGAAAGGGGTTTAGCTTAAGACGGTGATTTGATTTCTATCCCTAAATGAAAAGGACTCTGTTGCATGATGGACTCCATCCAAACACTCCTTGGATGTCAAGACCAGTTGAGAGTCTTGTTTTCCTTTCTTTTAAAGTAACGCTAATAATAAATATAATCACGCAGGCCTCGATGGCAGCCCCATAGCCTGAAAACATCTGCAAGGAATTGTGGATTAAACATCTCCATATGTCTTTCGGGGCCTAAATTTACCCTGGCAGGGAATTCTGCTTTGCATTTGTCTACCACAGAATGGAATAGGCTGGCGAAACTGTATACATGTACGTAGATGTATGAATTTCATGCTTATATCCGTGGAAAAAAAATATCTTTTCATTTCCTTTAAATTGCCAACAGGTGTTATCACCTCTTTAACTTAACTCCCGTATTAAAATTGAAAGAAAGGGAAGCGGGGGGAAAAAGAAATGGGTACAAAATAAAGAGATTTTTGTTGGCAAACAAACAAAGAGTGAGCAAGTTGCTCTGTGAAACAAGTCAGAAAATCAAATCGCCTCTCGTGAAGGAGAAAAAGAATTTCTTAGAGAAATGAAGGAAGGAAAAGAAACTCCAGCGTGAATGGGAGATTTAGTCTAACACGAAAACAAACAAAGGAAGTTAATATTGCCAAGGGCTACATCGAAGTTGCTCCTTGCCTACTACAGGTAGTCCTCGACTTACGACTCTGGAACGTCAGTTGCTAAGTGAGGCAGTTTTTAAATGAGGCGTGTCTGATTTTGTGCCCTCTTTTGCCGCAGTTGTTAAGGGAATCTGGCTTTCCCCATTAAGTTTGCTTGTTGGAAGCCAGCTGGAAGTTCACAAATGGAGATTTATTTATATTTATTATTTCTATTTCATACTCCTTAATCTCCCATTTCCCTCAGAGAGGGGCTTTGGGATCACGTGACCCTGGGACACTGCAACTCTCATCAATACATGCCGGTTGCCAAGCCTCCGAATTTAGATCACGTGACTGCGGAGATGCTGCTGCTCAGCCATAAATCACCTACCTCTTAGTGCTGTCATAACTCAGAACCACTGGTGGGTTTCAAATTTTTGTACTACCGGTTCTGTCGGTGTGGCATGGCTTGGCAGGCGTGGCAGGGGAAGGTTACTGCAAAATCCCCATTTCCTCCCAATCAGCTGGCACTCGGGAGGCAGAGAACAGATGGGGGCGGGGCCAGTCAGAGGTGGTATTTACCGGTTCTCTGAACTACTCAAAGTTTCCGCTACCGGTTCTCCAGAACTGGTCAGAACCTGCTGAAACCCACCTCTGCTCAGAACCTGTTCTGACCCAGTTCCCCGAACACAACAAACCCTCTAAAGTTAACTCAAAGATTCCTTTATTAGGAGCGCCAGCAGCCCCGGCAAAAAGTTTCTCTCTCAACGCAGGCTTTATAAAGAGCCTTGGTGGCGCAGCAGACTAAAGTGCTGTTAATTAGCACCAGCTGCCTGCAATTACTGCAAGTTCGAATCTCACCAGGCTCAAGGTTGACTCAGCCTTCCATCCTTCTGAGGTAGGTAAAATGAGGACCCGGATTGTTGGGGGCAATAAGCTGACTGTATAAAAAAGAACACCGCTTAGGGGGGGCCGAAAGCCCTACTAAGCAGTATATACAAAAGTATGAAGGCTATTGCTTAACGCATTGTAAGCTGCCCTGAGTCTCCGGAGAAGGGCGGCATATAAATCGAACCAATAAATAAATTAAATAAATAAATAACAAGTCAGGCCGGCCAGGAAATGAAGTTCTCTGCCACATCTATTCATCTCTGCCCCCTGCCTTTTATCCCCAGAGCTGGCGAGGGGCTTCACTAGCAGCAGTGGCTCTTCCATCCCAAGGACCGGCCCATAGATTTCCACTGCTCTCCTCTCCTCTGCCTTCTGCGCATCCACGCGCCAGGCACTGGACCCAGCTGTTCTTCTGCTTCCTCATCAGCCATCTTTAGACCTTGGGCTGTTGACTCTCCATCTGGGGGCTGACGGATGGCCCAGGCTCCGCCTCTCTCTCTCTCTCTCTCTGACAACTCCACTCCCTCTTCCCCCTCGGAGCTCTCAGGTTGCCTTGATGCTGGCCCTGACTCCCAGGCCTCCTCCTCCTCCTCCTCCTCCTCTGATTCAGTTGCTGGAGGGGCCGGCAGCCACAACAGAGCCAAAGCTAAACAAATGGTCATTAAATCAAGGACAACCCGTACATGAGAAACAGAAAGGGTGCCGTAGGCAATTAATTAAATTTCCTCTTTTCAAAAACACAGAAACCTAGAAAACCAATGGCAGGAAAAAAACCCTAATTCAATCGAGTCTCCCCTTGGAGTTTTTTGCTTTTGTTTTCTCTTTAATTTATTTATTAATTTTTATTTTTTTCATTCCATTACTATTTTTATTCTCTATTTATTTTTTAAATTATTTTTTTTATCAGATGATGGGCATGTGTTTGATCGGTTGGCCCACTGTCTCTGCTGGAAGTTGGTTCCCAGCTTCCTCTGTAGCAGGGCTCTCCAACCTTGGCAACTTTACGACTTTTGGACTTCAACTCCCAGAATTCCTCAGCCAGCACGTGCTGGGAATTCTGGGAGTTCAAATCCACAAGTCGTAAAGTTGCCAAAGTTGGAGACCTTTGCTTATATTCTTTCTGTGAAGCCATCTTTCCTAATTTTACTTTTGAACTTCCCTCCTGTCGGTTTGAGGTTCGGCCCCCATGATCTTGATTTTCGCTTCGTATTGAAAATGAATTAATATTGAAAACATCCACGCTCTGCCCCATTTCCTTTCTGCGTTCGAGAGAACACCAGACCTGACACAAACTCTGTGTAACAATCTACGCAATCCCTTAAAAACACTCCTCCACCATTTCTTTTTGTGTAGTTGTGCATCAGAAGGAAGACAAGCAGTTATTAAATTTATTTACACTTGTGATAAAGGTTGGGAATCACCTCTTTACATATTTCTCTCATCTTCTGCTATTATTTCTTTTTATTCCTTTCTTTCTTTCTTTCTTTCTTTCTTCCTTCCTTTCTTCCTTCCTTCTTTTTCTTTCTTTCTTTCTTTCTTTTTCTTTCTTTCTCTTTTTTCCTGCACTTCTAATGATGTCTTTCCATTCTCTTTTCTTTCTCTAACTTTAGTTTATATTAATTTTCACTACTGTAATTAATAAAACAGAAGCCTTATGCAAAGAGAAGAAGACTACTAGAAAATGAAAGGATAAATGTTGAGGCCAATGAGTTAAGAGACAATACGTTTTTTAAAAAATCTTGCTTTTCAGCTTTTCTACATTCGTTGAAGTATTAAGAAACAAAAGTCCTGATTGCAATCTGGATTTGAATGCCGTCCGCTAACATTCGGATTTATCAATTACTATCAATGCATGCACATTTTAGGGTGCCAATTTTAGGGTGCCAATTCTCCCTCACTAAGCCGAATGACCAATGGATTTTTTTTTTAAATGGCAATGACAAAAGAGCATTCAGTACTTGCCAAAGAAAAGGACTTAAGTGGATTATTTTAAACATAAATTGCATATTTTTGTACATGGTTTTTTTTAAAAGGGAAGATAGGTAATTTTGCAGGATAACAGACGTTTGTCCTTAATCCAAAGAATGTTAATTCTGATTAAATAGGAGACCAGTCCCTCCACTATAATTAGCATCTCGAGGCTTGTGGTCAACCACAGAGACTATCAAACTCTCCACCAGGAGAAGAAATTCTTTCTCTTTAGCCTAGTTAACGGTTTCGCTGGCAGCTCATGCTGCCCCCTCTCCCCCCCTAAAGCAAAGCAGCACCAGATTTTGGGAATTTAAAATCTAAAATCCTAACAGAAAGAATCTGAAGCCAAAGCAGGAGAATGAATGTCAGCTATGACCACAGAAAGCAAAAGGCCATCGGATGCAATCAACGGGAAACCTGAGTTGGGAGAACTTTACCGCAAAAATCGCTCCAACTGCGATGGCCAAATAGATGTTGAGGGAAAGGGAAGACGGCCCTGCTTTCTTGAGTGACTTGTTTTATGGGCTCCAAGAAAAGGGGGATAAAGAGTGGAGGAACAGAATCCTGTGTGGTGCAAGACAAAACCCACCTTCTCCTTCTTTTGTCAATTCTGCATCTTGTGACTGCCTTCTCCTTTTTTAAAAACTCTTGATAGGGACACACAACGCATTTAGGCTTCCTGCCAAGCTGGTAAATAATTCCAGCACCTACTGTTATTTTTTGATGATAAGGGGAGTCTGCGTGACCTTGCTGCGGAGAGTGAAACACACACTGAGTAACGATTGAGTAAAGAGCCACCGTGTTTCGGCAGAGACCGCAAAGGCTGGGGCGATCACTCCTTATCACTCGAACCTTTCCGGAGCTGAGATCTGTGTCTCCATCCCGCCTGTTTATTCCTATCCTTTGGCCCCCAGCCTTGGCTAATCTTATCTTGACACAACTGACAGCAGTAGGGAGACGGGGAACACCCCCATCAACAAAAACCTTGGGACAAGCGAGTTTGTCTAGAGCCTGGTAGATTATTTACAGAGCGGATATATCACAGGCAAATCTCACCCTGCATGGAACACGCTGAACTCTCTGTCTCTCTCTACTCACCGATCACAATGAGGGTATAGTTCACATTCGTGCTGCCAAAACCATTGGTGGCTTTGCAGATATAGGTCCCTGCATCCTCGCTTTCCACCTCCTTGATCTTCAGGCCTTGTTGGAGGACGCGGAACCTCATCCAGCCACTGTGGATGGTCCGCCCGTCTTTCGTCCACATAGTGAGAGGCGGTGGATCGCCTTCCACCGGACACAGAAGTTTGATGGTTCTTCCTAACCTTGCAGATTGCCGGTGGATTACTTTGTCGGCAATTCTGGGTGGGCCTGGAGAAGAAAGAATGAAATTCATATGTTATTTGGCGATGGAAGTAGGAGATACAATAATGAGATGTTTTGCATGGATTACAGAAACGAGGAAATAAGTCATTTCTGGTCAGGAACTTTGAAGCTCTGGTTCTGAATATCTATAGAGGTTCTCCATCATCCGAGGTCATGGTTGTCCCAAAGGGGCCTTTGGCCGCCACATTGATAAATGGATTCAAATCTCATATGGCCACTTAGAAGCCCTGATCATGTTGGCCAGGTTACAAATGGAAGTTGAAGGGTCTTCCTCACCCTCAGTTTGTACCCCAAGGGAGGCACCTTCATGGCCACATGCTACCAATTGTCTGAAACAAAAGTTGGAACCGAAATGAGGAATGTTAACCAGCAGCAAAACAACATATTTTTCTTCACTGTTTGCCTGTATCCTTGTTCATAGCATCCAGACAGGGTTGATGAACAAAGAAAGTAACGATTAGGAAAGTGTGTCAGAATGACTGCTATCACAAAGGAGGCGTTGATGTTTATTTTGCTTAAAAGGAGCCAGAATGGGATGATCAAACATGAACTGGCAGGTCATATCTTTCTAATAGAAAATAAACCACCTGTCTTTAAGAGTCCATAACTGATAATTCCATTATCAGGACTTCCTATACCTGCAATTTTGTCTTCACACCAACATGGTCATGGACTTAATAAAAGAATAACAGAGTTGGACAAGACCTTGAGATCTTCTAGTCCAATCCCCTGTTCAAGCAGGAGCTCCTATACCATTCTGGACAAATGGTTGTCCAATTGCTTCTTAAAAACCTCCAATGATGGAGCACCCACCCACAACTTCTGGAGACAAAGTCATTCCACTGATTAATTGTCCTCACTGTTAAGAAGTTTCTCCTTAATTCCAGGTTGCTTCTCTCCTTGATTAGTTTCCATCCCTTGTTTCTTGTCCTGCCTTCAGCTGCTTTGAGGAATAGGTTGACTCCCCTCTTCTTCATGGCAGCCCCTCAAATATTGGAACTATCACTACTATCATGTCACTATCATGTTCATTGAACTAACCAATTCTTGAAACCCTTCTTCATTTGTTTTAGCCTTCAGTCCCCGAATCCTCTTTGCTGCTCTTCTCTATAACTACATGGCAGCATCTGCAAGATTGCCCTCTTCAAAGTGACGTTAACCGCTTCTCCTTCTCTACACCCTGCCTCCCACCCTCCATGGCTAGCAATCAAACATGAAATCCAATAGCACTCTTAAATGTGGCTCCCTTCTTAATCCCCACTGGTTCACACTGGTTTACAGTGATTGTAAACGACTTTAAACCCCCGTAATTTGGAGAGCCACCTGAAAACCATGTCAGGAATTTGAGGTTTTGTTTACAATGCTGCCATTACTGTGTTCCATCCAAGGCACAATAAGGAGCACAAATATTTCACTTCCATCGTGATGGACATTGATAAGGCTCCTACAACAAAATTCCCTGCTTGCTTTGTCCAGGGAAAAGTTACCCAGTAGAAGGGTAAGCAACTTGGGAGCTTTTATAAATTTGACAGAGCATAACAAGCAAAGGTTTAAGATAATTAAATTTGTTTCAATGCCTCGGCTTAAAGAGAAGCAGACAAATGGACTGATTTATTTCCCTTAGTTGGGACTACAACTGGAATACTTGCATAGTCCGGTTATTTAAAAAGAGAGGGGGGAAGTCCACCTGTTACAAGGAACAGCTGACCCATCTTGAATTTAGTTTCTGCTTCTCTGCCACAGATGGGGGAATTTAGCTGCTTTCTATGTTCAAATATTAAAAGCCTACAGATTTCCCTGTTTCTCACCCATTAGATGTAGCCACTTCATCTGGGACACAATTCTTTAAAAATGCATTTAAAAAAGACAAAAAACTTGACACGAGGAGAATTCTGAAATCAAATGAGAATGGTGATTGGTCAATACCAGATAGAAATTTCCTAGCTGTCAGGATCAACTCATTAAATCATATGGTATTTCAAAGGAACATCTCTTTTAATTATTATTGAATTGAATTTCCTCATCTATGCTTCAGACGAAGAACGGTTGCAGGATTTGAGTATGTCAAGTCTAGTGTAAAGAAGGACTAGGGGTGACATGATAGCAGCCTTCCAATATCTGAGGGGTTGCCACAGAGAAGAGGGGGTCAACCTGTTCTCTAAAGAACCTGAAGGCAGAACAAGAAGCATTAGATGAAAACTAACCAACGAGAGAAGCAATCTAGAACTAGGGAGAAATTTCTTGACAATCAACCACTGGAATGCCTTGTCTTCAGAAGTTGTGACTCCATCATTGGAGGCTTTTAAGAAGACATTGGACAGCCATTTGTCTGGGATGTTATAGGGTCTCTTGCTTAAACAGTGGGGTGGACTAGAAGACCTCCAAGGTCCCTTCTAGCCAGGGGTGAAATCGAGCATATTCTGACAGGTTCTGAAGAACCGGTAGCAGAAATTTTGAGTAGTTCAGAGAACCGGCAAATACCACCTCTGGCTGGCCCCAGGAGTGGGGAGGGAATGAGAATTTTGCAATATCCTTCCCCTGGAGTGGGGTGGAAATGGAGATTTTGCAGTATCCTTCCCCTGCCATGCCCACCAAGCCATGCCCACCAAGCCATGCCCACAGAACTGGTAGTAAAGAAATTTGGATTTCATCACTGCTTCTAGCTCTATGATTCTGTGTTCTACCAATTTTTCCATCTCCCAATACTCACAAGCTAGTTAAACACAACTATGGTTTTGTCCACCTTGCCTTCTCTATCGGCAGAGCCTTCTTATACCGAAATGCATTGAATTGTCATATCTAATTGTAGACATCTGCAGGTTATCACAATGTTGAAGAAATTGCAGGCACGTGGTGACATCATGGACCCAGGCTTGTCTCAACATCAGACACTGGTACAAAGCTCAATCTCTCTCCAACCAAGTTGACCAACAAGTACATAGGCAAAGAACATCAACTACTGTGTTTCCCTGAAAATAAGACCTCCCCGGATAATAAGCCCAATCAGGCTTTTGAGCTCATGCGCTAAAATAAGCTCCTCCCCAAAAAAATAAACTTTCCCCAAAAATATTTAACTGCATATGCAGCCAGTCCCTGCCATTTCCTCTGATTAGGGTTAGGGAGACAGAGCTGGAAATCAGGTAAGACAGCGAGAGGAGCCCCATCTTGCTCCAAGCGCCCCAAAATAATAAGAGCTCCCCAAAAATAAGGCCAAGCGTTTGTTTCAGGGTTCAAAGAAATATAAGACAGGGTCTTATTTTCGGGGAATCACCGTATCCTTGTTCTTTCTTCCTCACTCAATGCTCTTCATTAGCCGAATGACCTTCCCTTGTATTACCAGCGCTCATTAGTAACAAACATCCCATTCCCACTCCATACAAAATCGAAATAAATCCATAGTCCTCCCCTTCCTCCATTTTCACAGATCTAAGTGTAAAAAAACATGTCAACAAATGCCCTGAAATTCTCTAACGTTTCCTGGTTACCACAAGGTCAGATCTCAATGTCTTTCTGAGTGTCCTTGACTTATGACAATAGCATGGCACCAGGCCAGAGATTCTGAGACCAGGAACTATTTCCAGGACCTAAGACCTTGCCTGCATGTTGCTATATCAGGCAGAAGGAGAAAAACTCTAAGGAAGGAAGGCAAGAGGTTCAGCTTCTGTGGAATGTGAAGGGAGAAATTATGGACTTAAGACCATTGCTCGTAGGAGCCAGAGAACCACAGCACAGAAGTTTCCTGGCAAAACATTGGAAAAAATGATTCAAAGGAAAAGTCAGTAGGTAGCTAGATAGGTGAGTAGGTAGGTAGGTAGGTAGGTAGGTGGATGGATGGGAAGGAAGGAAGGAAGGAAGGAAGGAAGGAAGGAAGGAAGGAAGGAAGGAAGGAAGGAAGGAAGGAAGGAAGGAAGGAAGGAACATTTTCCATCTATCAAAGTGGAATCTTCAGCAAGTGTTAGCTAATTCAGACCATAATAATGGTCCCATTGGTTACATTCACTGCCAAGAAGAGAGATTTTAAAATGCTCAATTTGCAAACTTAAGAGATCATCCAGAGAGCTTCAGTGGAGCACATCAGGCACATATAAAGTCCTTTTTGCCGAAATGAGTCCCTGACCTTCTGTTTCCAGACTACAGCATCCATCACACAGGCGCCTTGTGCCATATTTATGACGGATGGCTTGCAAAAGGCCTTCACCTTCATCTACAATAGCTCACAAAATACCACCCCCCCGGTTATCCTTCTCTTAATTTCCTTCAAAAGAAAACTTCCTGAAATATGTTAAGAGTCTTTCCAGATCTAAAATTGTAGCAGAAACCAGAAATAAATTCTAAGAACTCAGAATATTGCAGGTCTTCTAGTTCAGCCCCCTTTTCAAGCAGGAGACCTATACCATTTCAGACAAATGGTTATCCAGGCTCTTCATAAAAACCTCCAGTGATGGAGCACCCATAACTTCTAGAGGGAAGTTCTCTAGATTAATTGTTCTCATATCAGGAAATTGGTCATTAGTTCTAGATGTCTATGGAGATTCTCCATTATCCATGTCATAGTTGTCCCAAAGGTGCTTTTTCAAGAGGCAACTGGACTCTGGTTTTTCTTTGAAGACGTTTCACTTCTCATCCAAGAAGCTTCTTCAGCTCTGACTGGATGGTGGGGAATGGAAGGATTTATACTCCTTGCAGCCAGCTGGTCATTTGCATCCTTTTAGCAATGAGTCATATAAATCCTTCCCTTCCCCACCATCCAGTCAGAGCTGAAGAAGCTTCTTGGATGAGAAGCGAAATGTCTTCAAAGAAAAACCAGAAAGTCCAGTTGCCTCTTTGGGGTCCTTAGTTCTAGGTTGCTTCTCTCCTTGCTTAGTTTCCATCCCTTGTTCCTTGTCTTAACTTCTGCTGCTTTGGAAAATAAAAATGGATTATTCTCAAGTTTGTGGTTCAGTCTCAAAACAAGGTGGAGGAACAAGGGGAGGAAAAAGACTTTG